GGGGCCTTCTCCTCGGCTCTGAATTCCCCAGGCCCCCAGCAGCCCTCACCCCAGTTCGGCCAGGTTCACAGCTTCTGTGTGCATCATGATTACTTACCCAGGAAGTTCTTGTCTGGGCAGTAATCAAAGCAAAGAATCCCTTTTCTTAAATTCACCACCAAAAACCTACAACAGCAAAGGGGGACGCCTGCAGGTCTGGGAGTGGCCTCAGGGGAGCCTCTGAGCCTGGGGTGACGAGGAGCTGGAGCGGGCCTGGGGGCAGGCTGGGAGAAGTCACTGCCTCTCCACCCAAGGAGAGAAGCAGCCTGCAGCTGAGTCAGGGCCTCGGGGTGCAGCACCCAAACCAGCGGCTCATGGAAAAGGTACCCACCTCTTTCCCGCAGGAAAAAACAGCCCAAAACGGGAGCAACTACTTACAGATGTAACACATTTGCCTCATTCCAATGGCAAACTTCACTTTTTTTTTTTTCCAGTCCCATCTGGAGAACTTTATTGGACACGACTTGGGGCCTGATAGGCCCAGCACACGGCCCCACAGGGGAGTAGAAGGATGGTGGTTCCATCCAAGAAGTCTCAGGGCACACGGTAACCCACAAGGCGACACTCTACTTAAGATTAGCATATAGTTGGGCTGCTCCACAGACGTGTGAACAGGTCAAATCTTTATAAATAAACATCCAGTGAAGAGGAAATGACAACTCTAATTCATCCTATACACAGAGCACTCCAGGGCAGGTAGATAGGTAGGAGTGGCCAGAGGCTTGCAAACTCACTGGTCAGGCTCCTGGATGGATGATGAGTGGGCCCAGACGTCCACGGCACGGGGCTGATGGGAGCAACAGACGGTGGGCACTAGGGTACTGTGCATTTACAAGACCAACTACTAGGGGGCAGCTGCCCCGTGCATGTGTGTTGATGGCTGTTGATTCTGGAATGAGGAGAGGGTAGTCTTTACATCATATACTGTGGCTGGTGGGCTTGGAGAGAGGCTGCTTTGTGGAAAGGATGAGGGCAATGATGAGACCACAGGGGCAGTGCCCCTCATGCCAGCATCCCCCACAACATCAACGGCAAAGCCGGTTGCCAGCCCACACAGACCCACACTCAGACCAGCGCCCAGTTGGAGGAAACTCCTGTAGAGGCTGAGGCCTTCATTCAGGGAGTTGGCGATGAGGACTGCTACCACCAGGCCATTGATGGCAGTGATGCCAGCCATGACCACTGGGATAATGGACTACATGATCAGCTCTAGCCGCATAACTGATATGACTGCAATGCCGGTGCCACTCTTAGCCGTACCATAGGCAGCACCCAGGGAATTAAAGACCATGGTGGCCAAGGCATCCATGACCATGAAAAATGAGGCATACTCAAGGCTGCTCTTGGCCTCGGACATGTCTGTGGTGGGGAGAGAGCAAGCTCAGCTGGCAGAGGTGGCGGCAAGGATGGGCCAAGCAGTAGGCAGGCGTCGGGCAGACAGCAGGTGGCGAGCGTGAGGCGAGCGGTCTGATGGCAGTAAGGCGACCGCCTGTCAGCCGCTGCACTCTAAATACCAGAGAGGGCAAACTTCACTTGATCTTCACTTCGACTATAGCGGGACAATTGTCCCCCATCCATGACACCAATCAAAAAAAGGGGGGGAGGGAGTTCCAGGGCCAGGGGAAGGGAAGAAAGCTCCTGGGTGTTTTGCCCCTGCTCCGTGCTGGTCCCAGCGCTGGGTGCTGTCTCATGCGTCACCTGGACCCCTCACACAACCCTGAAGAGTGTCATCAGCCCTGCGCCATGATGAGGACATGGAAAGGAGAAGGTAAGGAGCTTTCCCATAATCACAAGGCTGGTAAAGTCAGGGCTCAGGATTCAGAGCGAGGGTGGACAGGAAACTCAGCTCCAGGACAGGAAGAGATGCAGCAGGTCTGGGTGGGGCTCCGGAGGGCCAGGGTGACCCAGGCCGTGTTTCTGGGAAGGTCAAATCCAGCAGTCCTCACAGACCCAAGAGCCCTGGAAACTCAGTGCCTTTGCACATGCTGTTCCCTCTTATCCATACATCCTGCCCTGCCAGCTCCTTCTACTTATACTCGCCCTTCAAAACTCAACTCACCCTTTTCTGAGTAGCTATCCGAAAAAATTTGAAAACATTTATTTGTAAAGATATATGTACCCTTATGTTCATTGCAGCATTAGTCACGATAGCCAAGACATGAAAACAACCTAAGTGTCCTTCGATGGGTGAATGGATAAAAAAGATATGGTATATATATATATATATATATATACACAATGGAATACTACTCAGCCATAAGAAAAGATGAAATGCTGCCGTTTGCAACAACATGGAGGTATCTTGAGAGTATCGTGCTAAGCAAAATAAGTCAAACAGAAAAGGACAAGAACCATATGCTTTCACTCATATGTGAGATATAAAACAGAAAGCAACCAATGAACAAACAAAACAAACAAAAAACTCATAGACACAGACAACAACAGTACAGTGGTTACCAGAGGGGAAAAGGGGTGGGGAAAAGGTTAAAGAGGGTAAAGGGGGTCAAATATACGGTGATGGAAGGAGACTAGACTTGGGTGGTGAGCATACAATGCGATCCACAGATGATATATCATAGACTTGTACACTTGAAATTTATCTAATCTTATTAACCAATGTCTCCCCAATACATTTAATTTTTAAAAACCTCAGCTAAAAGGCCCCCATTGTAGGGCACCCCAGCCCTTTAATGCAACATGTCTGCCACTGAACCTGCCTCTAAACTGGCTCCTCGACCACTCCCTGAGGGCCTAAGCCCATTACCTGGGTGTCATCCTCAAGGCTTCCTCTCCTCACTCCCATTATCCAGCCAGTTCCCAAATTCCACGCCCCACCGTAGCCCTGGCCTCTGCTTAATTCAAGCCCCCTCCCCCTTCACTTCCGCTGTCAGCCTCCCAGTGCTCTCCCCTCCACTGACAGGATTCCTTAAAAAAATTAAAATTTCAGGAAGAACGATTGAATACATGAATGTCATTTATGGTCAAACCAGATACATCCTTCTCCGCGTATATAGGTGCAGAGCAATCTTTGGAAGAATGGTCACAAAACGTTACTAGAAATTATTTCAGGCTGAGTCACTCATTCAGTCAGCAAAGAGTTACTGGCTTCTCTACACCATTCCAGGATCATCAGAGGCATAGATATGACGCCCCAGCCTTCATGGAGTTTTCCTCCTAGAGGGAAGCCACGCGAGCAAGTAAATGAACCGAGACAGGGAAATGGACTTTTACAGATCGTGGCAAGTCCTGCAGGGAAGTAAACAGGTGGCTCTGACAGGACAGCTGAAGGAAAGCAGGCCTACCGATGGCTGCGGTGCAGAGAAGGGCCTGTAAGGTCAGAGGGAACGCAGAGAAGAAGCTCACTACGACCAATTCAGGTGGGAGATGAGCGTGGTTTCAACTAGGTGGTGGTGATAGGAATGAGAGAAGCAAGGGAGATGCGGTAGGTCCGTCCACACACTCAGCACGGGTCCTTTGCACCCTGACCCAGCTCCTCCATCAGATTCACCGCTGGCTCCAACTACCTGAAGTACTCAGCTCAGGCTGGCTGCGGAGAAGCCAGACCCTCGGTGCCTTGGAGGCTGAAGCCTCTCCAGAGGCAGGGTTTGCGTTGGTAATGCCACGCCCCACCTGCAGAGGCCACGCCCTAAGAGGCGTGGCCTGCACCTCCCGTTCCTACACCAGGAACGGGCAAACTATCAAGCGGTCAATGGTGCCACCTGCCGGCCAGCATGTGGTCTGCATTCAGACAGGAAGGAAGAGTGTGTGCACACGTGTATAGTCTCCAACCTACCCCAAAAATATATCTCAAATCCCTCCATCTCCACCCTACTGGCCGACTCCAGGCCACCATCATAAGTACCCTGAATTACTACAATGGCATCCTCACTGGTGTCCCCATTTCCACCTCTGCCCACCTATACTCTACTTGCCACAGAGCAGCCAGAGGGTGCTCCTACACGTCAGATCACATTCGTCTGCTCGAAATCATCCTAGAACCCTGTTTATATCTAATTCCAAATAATTGTAAGAAGATATTTTTGAGACACTTGGGAAAAGATTAATTTAGACTAGATACTAGTGATATTAAAATATTATACTATTTTCTCTACTTGAAATTTTTCATACAAATATTAAACAAAAACTATAAAAAAAGAAGAGCATACCAGGCAGAGAGGAGCAATGCAAAGGCCCTGGGGCAGGAGCATGTCTGAACCACAGGGAGCCAGTGTGGCTGGAGTGGGAAGGTAGAAGAGGTGTGATGCGGAAGGCAGTAGGGCCAGACACAGAGAGCCTTGCGGCCACAGTGAGATGATCCCACTGATAGCCTCCTACTGTTGATACCCAATAAAACAAAAAGCTAAATGAAACACATATCACAGACATGAGGAAATACTACCACCAAAGCAGAAAGATGAACCTCAGCAAACCAGCTCCAAGGAAAATCCCACCACACTGCCTCACTAAAAGTACTGAAGCCAAGACTGAAAGATCCCCATAGAATCAGGCATTCTCCCTCCTCCAACCTGCAGTTAGTTCCAGGACTTGTGGGAATGTGCACAGAGTACCCTGGTTAATAAGACACTGTTCTTACAATGAGGTCTGGGGATACAACTCAAGCTCAAACGCAGTCACCTCCCCCATCTCAAGCCTCTGGTTTCCAATCTGTAAAATGAGGAGTTGGACTAAATTAGCCCTACCATCCTAGGATTGAATTTCCCTCTGGAAAACAACTAGGACAGGAAGGAACAGACAGAGACAGGGCCTAAATGGCTCTCAGTGTCCCCACTGTACCTCACTCAGCTGCTCCCCCAACAGAAGCTTCAAATTTCCTGCTGTTCCCCCAAGACAAGGAGGATGCAGCTCATTACTATTACTCAGCCTGCTCAGGAGTAAAACGTCACAGACCCACAAGCTCCACTGGGAGCCTGGTGAAGTCCTGGGGCAGTAAGAAAACTGCAGAGGTGAGGGAAACCCAGGTAAATAGAAACCCCGGGGAGAAAATACCTATTGCAAAGTGCAGAGTGAAAGGTGCACAATCAAACAATAGAAATGGGACTTTTGATAATGGAGTGACAATGGGGTTAGATAAGGGGAGGAAGGCCACAGGATTCCAGCTTTATTTACAATATTTTCATTTTTTACAAGAACAATGTGTGTACATATACTTGTGTGACTAACAGCTGATTTTAAAGGGAGGGAGTAAGAAAGGAAAGGAAAGGAAAAAATTAACTCTGGGATAGAGGAATCTAGAAGGAAAGAGATAGATAAGGACTCTCTCCAAAAAATAAGTACTGCCAGTTATTGAACGCATGCCACAAACCACTTTCAGTAGAATAATACTTGAAGTAAGCGAAGTGCAGTTATCACTCCTTTTAAAGACGAGGAAACTGAGGCTCACAGAGGTGAAGCAACTCACATTCATTCCTTCGTTCAGAAAATATTTTTGTGACTGCCTGCTTAACACTATGTGCCTGCCTCTATGGTGAGCTTTGCATATAAATTGGTGGATAAAAGAGGCCCTATTTTAATGTTGCTGCTTGTGGTAATGCCAGAATGACGATTAAAACCAGTCACCATGAAAGTTCTCTTCACAAAGGGAAAAAAAAAACATATTTTGGTTTTTTTTTACATACATACATACATACATACATACAAACTATGTATGGTGATGGATGTTAATTAGACTTATTGTGGTGATTATTTTGCAATATATACAGATATTGAACCATTGTTGTACACTTGAAACTAATATAATGTTATATGTTAATTATGTCTCAATTAAAAAAATTTTTTTAAATAATAAAAACAGACTCCAAAGCCCATGCTCAAACCACCACAGCCCACTGCTGGCCCACAGGACACACAGTGCTTTCTTGAATCTGGTATGATCTGCAGGACACTGTACTGCCCATAGGCGATGCCACTGTCCCCAAGGTGAGCCTACCCTCGGCAAGGATGGCCACATGTGTCTGAAATGAAGCCAGACCCCTGAGGTACTGTCACCACCCACCTCCCTCCCAGTCCCACCACCTTAGCCTGGAGAAAGGTGCTTCTTACTTGGGGTTCTTGGGGGCTTTGGATGGCAATATTGTCAACACCAGAGAGGACTTTCCAGTGGCTGAACAGGAAGACACCAGGTTCATCTGGGGAATGAACTTGACCTGCTGACACCAGTTGGAATGGAGAGCCTGGGAAGAGAGCAGCAGTGGTGGAAGACCCAACCCAATGACAGCCTTTCATGCCCAGCCACCAGAATGTGGCAGGTCTTGGGGGCTAGAGGGGCCCAGAGGTTGAGTCCAGTGCCCTTCCAATTCACAGCTCTGACAAAGTGATAGCCCTAGCCCAGGTCCTGTGACCAGGGGTATGTGGTCATCATTTGTCAATGAAAAGGCTTAAAAAGCACTCAAAGGGCCAGCCGAGTGGCTCAGTTGGTTAAGAGCTCGCTCAAGAGTGTGAGCTCTGAGCAATAGTGGTTCGATGCCCCGCCCAAGCTGAGCTGCCAACAGGTGGCAGGATGAATAAAAAAAAAAAAAGCACTCAAGCCTTCTGTCACGTGAACTCTTATTTATAACTTA